AGCACCATCATCTATTGCCATCTATTATACAGGTGAAAAGTAAAACATTAGAAACATCACCTACTGGCTGCTTGCAGTTGGTGTCGTCTTTCCTCTTATGTCTCTATCATACAAAAGGAGCTTAATTTTTAATTCAAAATAAAACCTCTGTCTGAGAACTTCTAGTGCTGCACATACTGTTCCTTTCCCAAACAGACTGAATACCCTCCATGAATTTTCTATGAGATCTTGGGCTCTCATTCAGTATGCTTGACTGACTCCAGACACTGTGACATGGATCAAGTCCCTGTTAGTGAACTTGTCCCCCTCTGGGGACCCATGGTAGCGATCTCTACACCTGTGCAGGCTGGGTAGCCCTTTAAGTGGTGACGACACCTCCCCTGAAGCACCATTTGAATCTCAGACACCAGGTGTCAGCCAAGGGAAACTGCCAGTCACTGGATATGCAGTATGGAAGTACTCGGGATCAGCCCACTCCTTAGGTGACTATTAAGATGAAGAATAGCAGTGCTTCTCTGCCAGGGTTTCTCAGGGAAAGAAACCGATACTCTTTCACAGCAGAGACACTGTCAAGGCCAGACGAGGGCTCCTGCTCACTTCAGCATGCCGAGCTGAAAGCTGTAGCATATTTTCTCTAGACTGTGCCCTCTAATAGAGGGAGCAAACACACACAAGCAACAGGCAGGGGCCTCTGTGCCACGCCCGGGGAGCTGGGGTGGCACTCACCTCGGAGGCAGCAGAGGCGGTGCTGGTTTTGCCCCTGCCCTCTCGGAGCTGGTTTATCTCAGCACGGTAATCATCCAGCTGGCTCTCCAGCTTCTCCCGCCTGACTCGCTCATATTCCAGCTGGGCCTCCAGCTCCCTCACAGCCCTGCCAAAAGCAAAAGAGGCAAGCAGAGCATGAAGTACATCCAAACCTGCCCCGGCTGCTCCACGTGGCGCAGTGCCTTTGCCAGGGAACGGGTCAGTCACGCAGAAAGCAGCGCAGCACGCCTCCCGGCAGCTGTGCTCAGGCTGCGGACCCTTGGTGACAGCGCTGACAGCAGCTTTCCTTCCTCGGCTGCCAGCGGTGCTCAGCGATGGGACCGCGAGGTGGAGCCCTCTGCCCGCACACCGAGCCCGCGCCGCGCTGCCCGGGCCAGGCTCCAGCTGCGGGGGAGGGAGAAGTGCCCAAGCAGCAACCAAGTTCTTATGAAACAGAGAAAAAGCACAAAGCCGGCAGCATTCTGGAAAGGTCAGGGGCAGCCTTCTCATTCACATCTGGTGCTTCTATATCCTTCCTACTGATTGGCTTAGGCACGGATGAGGAATGCTCAGATCTCAGCTTGCATGACTGGCTTATACACAGTTGCACAAGATCTCACTGGTCACACCCTCAAGGGCTCCTAAATTATTTGAGATTCCTGGAACTGTTTAGCTGACACATAATTCACACATAAACTGAGTCTCTGGAGTTGAGCTGGCTTTCTCATATATCAGGATGAATTATCACAGCTACAAGGATGGAAGCTCAGTAAAAGGAAAGGGGAGATATCTGCCCTATGCATTCAAACAGCACAGGAGGAAGGCTCTCAGCAAGACCTACCATGTTTCCATATTTCCCTGTTTCTCAGAGTAAGGAATTCCTGAATCAGGCCCTTTGAGCTACCAATCATCCTTACTGGCACTGCAAGAATGGCCTGTGCTCAGGGGACAGCTGATTTCTTCCATGCTTCCAATTAAAGAGGCACGACTCCCAAACTGTGTGGCACACCCATGGTGACAATTTCCTGCAATGAACCCTGGTTAAAGCACTGTGAAGTGATTCACACCAGGCCTCTTACAGCCAAAAAAACCTGGACTAAAGCAGAAATCTTCAAAATCTGCTCTACAGTGGCCTTCCCAAGTGGCAACTCTTGCTTTTCATCTAACAAAACGGTGTTGTCATTAAGCATTTTATCGATAATGAGGTTTTCTGGCCTGTGATACAAGCACCTTGGGATGCTTGTATCTACAGATGGTACCCTGAGAAGGGTAGGCAGGTATTCTGAGAAGCCCCATTTCTTTTCAAAAGAAGAGTTTGGGGCTAGGGATGCTTTCTAGCCTTCACAGGTACAGGAAATCCTTCAGAGAACCTCACAGTTTTTCTAGTATAGCCACACATGCCACAGAAAGCAACACCACTTAGAACCCCAGCAGAATCTTCTAATAGACATTGTTAGTTTTTGAGCAGCTGCTCTATCCAAAATGAACTTCCCTGTCTGTCATTAGTCAACAATGACTTTTCCATCATTAAAACAAGATTGTTCTGACCTTTTAATGTGAGCATCAACACTTAAGCTGATCACTCTCCTCTGAAACCAGGAAGGACACTTCTAGAAGTGATGAATCTCATCCTGAAGTATATGTTTAATTATGCCCTGGAAGTGTCTACACTTCTCCAAGAAGCTGAAAAAGGAGCTCCTGATAACTAACTTGGACAGCTGTGTCTGTTACCTATTGTATACATATCAAGTTGAGAAAGATGGACTGTCGTCATAAGCTGAGTCAAAGAGTGACCTGGAACCAGATGAAACAGATGAAATCCTGACCAGGCTCAGATATGGCTTTAAAACAAAGTACTTAGTTGCAATCTGTGACACCTACTGTCTGCTTCAGATCCACACAGATTGCTAAATCTCCTGTCTTCTTCATGGCATATAAGCCCCGCAGACAGTCTCCTCTCAGTGGCCAGAGAAAAACAGTGGTTTGGGTTGGCCCTAACACATGATGGAGGTGGTTATCTACAGAGACTGAGAACAGAGGGCAGCCAAATCTTTGACAGGCAGACGTGGAGACAGGCCTGTCTTTGGAGGCTGCAGTATTGTTAAATCTCTAAATCTCTGATAGACTTTTCTTTAAAATGTAGTCTGTCCGTCAAATCACCTGACCAGAGGCTGCAGTATTGTTAAATCTCTAAATCTCTGATAGACTTTTCTTTAAAATGTAGAGTCTGTCCATCAAATCACCTGACCAACCTAACAGAACCATTTGATTTAATGGACACCTTGAGAATTAGATCTTATGAACAATGCTTCACATGCAAGGCCAGGTTTGCTGATAGTTGTTTTTTCCCCATAGACTGGATACAAGCTAATCCTTTCTTGAGCACAGAAATATATTGCCAATGAACAGAAATGTTAGCAGGTCACTGAATATTCTCTGCTGTATATGCACTTCCATCCAAGCCATGCTAACATTTTTGCCTATTTTCAGATTTTCCGGAGGGCATGCATGTCTTTGGCATCCTCAGAGGAAATAAAGCAGCCAGAAGCTATCAGACCTACTGCACACATCTGCAGAAAAACCTGAACACTGAAGAGATGACCTTGCACAAGAATCATGGACCTATCGAGCACTTGTGTTGTGGAGCTGATCCTGGTGGTAGAAATTTGGAATTGGCCAGACAAATTGCTGCAGTTCATTTCTTTTGGGCTGGTTGAAGTTGGTAAGTGGAAAAGACAGAACGGCCAAATGCAAATTTGAGTGTAAATCAGCTTTAAAGGAGGATTTAAAATGGGCCCCACAGAGTTAAACATTAGCAGGGCAGAATGACCTTACTTCTCAGCTTTCCTTTCTTCTTTTCTCATCTTCCTCTCCTCTTCAGTTATTCCCCCCAGCTGTCTGTAGTTGTTGTAGGCAATTTCTAGAAGTCTCTGAAGTTCTTTAATCTTGTGATAGGCCCTTACTGTAAGACAGAGTTCTCCAGGTAAAATGCAAGAAGACAGTTATGCTGAAATCCAATAGTCTGGAAAATAGTCTCACAAACATAAGAGCAGAAATCAGACTGCTCAGCAAACCTTGAGCTACACCTGACACCCACACAGCAAGCAGATGTCAAAAACAAATAGCAATCCAACACTGTTGCACCAACATGGATTAAAATGGTGTGACAATTATGATCTAATTGCCTTCTGCTTGTTTTCTAATATTCCATAATTTGTTTCAATGCTCAGTATTACAGACATCCTGTCAACCATCTCATAACAAAAAGATCAGAGCAGTTGGCTGGGTCTGTCCTAGTTAGGGCTATAACGTCTTGATAACAACTTTTGCAAACAAGGAATGATGGAAATAGAGTGCTTACTGCGTGCATTCATTTTCTCTGCTTTATCCAGGGTTAAATCCTCTTTGCTATCTGTACTCCCTTCTACACCATGTGTTTCAAAAAACTTGATGTTGTTTGCATCTAGTTCTTCATCACTAGAGTTACTGTTTCCAGTTCTTGGTGTCAGAAGTTCCACAGCTACCAGATGGCCAAATCTGCACAGAGAACAGTTAAAATCTGGAAAAACATGTGTGGTAGAAACTCTCAAACTGCTCATGTTCCCATTTATCAGAGAGGTTTCAGGACTAAAGGAAGCACTGTACACACACTACAACTATCTATCTACTTTTTGTAGTATTCTTATGGCATGAGCTCTGCCTCGATGGAATCTTATGGCAATGGCTCCTACATCAGAGGCATCTCTTTCCTTTGCAGGGTTTTTTAATTGAATCTCATCAGAATCTGCATTATTTTTATTAATGCAAAAATCAGCTGGCCTCTGCTACTTCTCAGAGTTTGGACAGCAAACTGTGAACATACAGGCTCAAAACTGTCCGCTGGCAAATGAGCTAGTTTTCCTCTTTTGTGTCTGACCTCACTAAAAATAAAATTACATTAAGTGAAAATTAAAACCTTTTGTAGTTACAATATTATAGCTACAATACAGCCTTTCTTATCACTCAGAGCTGGAATTCATAGGCTTGATCTGTTTTTTCTCCGTCACCGAAAATCAGGATTAATTCCAACAAAGCTGACATGATATTGATACTAAAATAGTAAGTAAATAAGTGTCAGAGCTACAGGATATGTACTACTACCTCTTGGCTACATCCTTTGGAGTCTCTCCAGCATCATTTGTAATGTCACAGTCAGCTCCCATTTCAACCAACCACTGTAAGCAATGGACATGCCCCTGTTCAGCAGCTAAGAGAAGGAAGGCATACACAAGTCAATTATATACAACTGAAGTGTTTCAAACCTAAAACGTCCTCCTCTTGCCATTTTTTGACATGTCAGAGATTGGGTTCACTAAGACACTACAAGGGAGATACTATTTCCAGAGGAACCTCTGTGTCAAGATGCTGACAATCACTTGGGTACACAGAATTTGGGGGAAGAGCATGCAGTGTGGTTGGTGGCTCTTTCTAGTTCTGGAAATGTATTGGCAGCTCTTGCTGAACACAAGCTAAACTAAACTTTCCCAGTCTCATGTACAGAGCACAAGACACACAAAAATCTGCTGTCCCAGTAAGAAAGGCCTGCATGCCACAGTTTGGCAGCCAAGCGCTGTCACCTCTCGCTGGCTTTGGGCTCGCAGGGGTCACACACAGCTGGCAGCCCCAGCCTGTGGGGTGTGTACTGCTGTCTCAGGAGAGAGAAGCAGGGCTTTGTGCTGGAGCTGAAGGTACAGCATTTCTTGGGGCAGACACTCAAGGCAGCACCTCTCAGCAGCATCCTAGCACAACCCTACTCATATGATGTGCCATGGCCACTGCTCCCACCACGTGGTGCCAGGAACAATGTCTCACTTATGGAAGATGGTATTTGACAAGTCTAGACGAAATTGTATGTTGATTTTCTCAAGGAAGAATAAATTCATTTGTTGACAGCTCTCCCTGTTGGATAGTTTTTATACTTGTTTTCTTACTGAGATACAGAAATGAAGTTACAACATCAGCATGGAAACACTGGGGATGAAACAACTGTAGGTCAGCATCATTCCAAGAAAAGAAAGTGGGATTTTAAAATAGCTACATATCAGTTATTTTAATAAGAACTTCAATTATGGGGTTTTTAAAAAAAATTCTACTATATATCTAGTCAAAAAGAAATGTAGGAAATTTGCTAAAAGCATATTACAAAAATGCTTCCCTCTTTCTTTCATCTTTTGTTTCTTCTTTCAGACAATACTGTGAAACCCCAAACACAAAAAAACCAACCATTTTTTCTGTAATGCAAGCAGTACACTACATGTCAAAGTGTCAACCAGCAGTTTACCTTTCTTCACAGCCTCCTACCAAATTACTTTGTTGTAGTTTTTACAACAGATCCCCACAGTACTGATGTGTTCAGGAAATAAAGTCCCAGGCCACAATACAGATCATTCTTATACTTAGCCAGACAGATATTTCTAAAAGCCACATCTTGCCTGATTAAAAAAAAAAAAATCAGAACTACTTAGTTACATTAAATAAAGTGAAAATTAAAAACTTTTACAGCTAGAATATAGCCTTGCTTATCACTCAAAGCTGGGATTCATGTGCTTGATCTGTTCTTTCTCCATCACTGAAAATCAGGATTAACTCCAACAAACCTGACATGATATCAATATACAAATAGTAAATAAATGTCAGAGCTACTTAGTTTTCCATTTAATTGCTGATTTCTCTTCATTGTAAGCTCTTTTTCCTTGCCTTGAGCTTGGTTGTATTGTTTTCAAAGTGACCCATGCACACATGCATTACAAAATACGGGGTTTGGGGATGCCTTTCCAAGCTTCAAGAAATAAGATGCTGTTTTTCATTACATTTACCTGATAAGCAGTCACTTGAAAAACAAAGTAAATGAATCAGCAACAAAGAGTAACAAGCTGAAACAGATTATATTTACTGACCTTTGTGCAGGAGAGTGGATCCCTTATCGTCCCGCTCATTAATGTTGATTACTCCACTTCTCACTAGTTTTCTAACCACCAGTAAGTCCCCGTTGAAAGCAGCATCATGACCTGGGAAAGCTAAAACTGAAAATAAAAAGGCACATGTTTCCAAGCAGATGCCAGCAGTTCTACTGAATATGCTGGTGTTTGTCTCACAGCTCACCTCTCATAGCAACTTATGTATGGACACTTCAGAGGTAGCAAGGATAATGCTCCTTAATTAGCTGAAATGCAGCTGTGTAACCAGCAGTGCTCACCAGACACTTCACTAAATATGTCTTAGTTATGGCTACAGGCATCTCATATAGTTAAGAGATTAATTTCACTGACCTGAAATAACAAATACACCTTTGTGTGCTTCTGCAGAATTACACACAATGCCTTTTTGAAGTGTATCTTGATCCATACTCACCTTCCTGTCTCTCTGGATCTTCCTCCTCTTTTTCCACACCATCAATATATTGCAGAATATTATCTTTGTAGAACCGTTCAGCCAAGTCTCTTGGAGTCTCTCCATGGTCATTCCTGGCTTTCAGAGCGTGTGTAACGCTGGCCATTTTCCTGACCAAGAACTTAAAGCAATGCAAGTGTCCTTCCACTGCTGCCAGATGTGCTGCAGCACAAATGAAACAAAGGGTGCTAGAGCTGAGCCTGCTGCCCACTGAGAAAGCAATGCTCCCACCAGGGTTAGAGCTGGTTCATCTACCAGCACGTGAGCCATCCAACACTGCACAAGGGGAAGAGCAGCCTCAGCTGAACTGTGGATGTTCAGCTCCCACCCAGGACACAGTTCAGCTCTAGGCAAAGGAGGGAAAGCTGCCAAGGATGGGATCTGCAAGGATGATTCCCTGGTGGAGCTGACTGCAGGAGACAAAACAGACTCCCAACAGAGCACTGAGGCCTAGCCCAGAGTGCACTGCTGGGGCCTCACTTCCCCAGGAACGTGGATCTCCCTGCTGTCCCAGAGATACTCCTTACAGGGGGACAGCAAGCACTGTCCTTGATTAGGAGCTAAGGCCATTTCTGCCTTAGGCTCTACTGTGCCACCACAAAGAAGCTGCATCACACCCTCGGTTACCCCACCCATAAAATGAGGACACTGATAGGTGCTTTACTGGACAAAATATTTGAAGGTACATTCCTCACCTGACCTTTAGGCTATGCAGAGGTTTACTTATTTAATAATGCTACAGTGCTGGGCCTATAACAACATAAGAGGTACCAAACACATGCCAACTCATTTGACATAAGTAATAACCTCTAATCCCATTAAATGAGAAGAACTTGCCAAATAAATGCTTGTTATGATCTCTCGCTCCATGAAAATGCTCTATAGCAGCTGGCTGATGTTCTAGAGGCAAAAGGATTCATTTCTCCAGTTAAGAATCTCACTACCTTCATAATCAACAAACAATGTACACAGGGCCCAAAAAACCCACGTCAATTCATTTTTGGCATACACAAGCAAACCAAACCATATATAGCAAACCAAATCATCCACAGCTTTCCAGAGCATATTTGCTCTACAAGATTATGGACAATGGTTTTACAGCAAGATGACAATACCCCTGCACAGGTGATTGTTTAAAATCTGAGCTTCACTGAAATAAGGGCAGTTTTTGCCATTGTCTGAATTTTAGTCAGTGAGTTAGGTTCTCAGGGAGAAGGGAAAAGAAGGGTACCGTGCTAAAGGTAAGTCAGCTAGTGAAAAACTGACTCAACCTTCACAAATCCATTTTCAGATACCTAAAATCTGTTGGTGTCCCAAATTCTCTGTGCTTCATCTTGACTTTTATAAAATCAGACTAACAATATTCACTCTTCTCAAAGCTACAAGCCAAAATATTGTGTTTGTGAAAAATATTTAGAATAGGTTTGACTAGTGAGCAATAAAAGAAGCATAGACGTGGCCCAAAAATGAATACAGAGAGAAAGCAAATTGAAATGTTCAGTTAATAAGCACAGCCCATTCTGTGCTCATCAAATGAGACACTTTTTTTTTTTCTTCCAAAATATTGGCAAGGAAATTAGCAAAGATAGCTAAACCTCCTTGCAGTAACACACATATACAAAAGATGCAGCCAGTTTTTAAGTTTCAGGTGCCTGGCACTGCAACCTCAAATAATTTCTTCCAGTATTCTCTTAGGAAAAATTATTGCACAGTTCAGCTAATCTTGAAGCTGAAGTGTGTAAACATAATTTAAATTCACTTCTGTTACACAAGCAGACAACAAGCTGGTTTGCACAGTACTTCGACTAATCTGTTACTAGCCATGTTCCAAAATATCCTCTTTCCTTTGGAAGATAATATGATCAAATGAAACAGATCAAAGGTTGGAAGATCAAACTTCTGTAGATGCCAAAACACAACAAAAGCAGTTTTTTACTAACCATTTTATACAGAGCATTTAAGTAGAACTGCGCTGGCATCTGCTTTCTCTCCACAGATGTCTGTTATCAGGGAAGTGTTCCCAAATGCAAATAAAGCTGCCTTCCATGCTGCCCCCAGGGTGCCTCACATCCTGACCCCTTATTGCTAATGCACCACATCTCCTGCTGGGATGCAGGAGCCTCACATCCTTTAACAAGACCCAGGTTTGCAAAACACAGCATGGCTATCTGTTTCCTAGGTAAGTAGTCCTTAGTAGAGGGTAAAAGATTTTAAGAAAGGATTTTTAAAGATAACTCTGTACAAGTTATAGAGAAAAACATATGCTCTTTGGAACAAATAATGTGACAAACTATTAGAAGGAAAATGCTAAAAGGCAAAGTATGCAAGGAGAACTCAAGACAGAAACAATCCATTGAACTTACAGCGGATATTGAGGCAGTGGTATGTTAGGGAGAGGGATACTGGAGAAAATACAAAAAGCAAGGAACAATCACTGGCACATTTTTATGCTGAAGTGAATACACTGATAATTATGAAAAGAAATTACAGATAATCCAGAAAAAGCAGTATTCCAGAAATCAAGATGAAGAAATCACAGGAAAATAAAAACAACTGTTTTACAAAATCAGTTAAGAAACAGTGGGATACAAAAACTTGCATGCAAACACACCAGAGCCTCGTCACATTGGCACCAAGTCAAAAAGTAGCACATAGCAGCTGAAACTGCCTCCCCCTCCACCTGTGCTTCTCCTGCGACCTCCACTGGCACACGAGCTCCATCACACACACACACACACAGGAGATGCTGCTCACCAGCTCCCAGTCAGGCTCAGCCTGCACCACATCCCAGCATTTGAGAGCTCTCAACTTTGCCAGCAGCAGCAGGAAGTGAATGGGATACTGTCACCAACAGAGAAACACTTTGGATTTTGTAAATCCTCCCATCATTAGAAAAATGGACTATCTATGTGGATTGCATGGCATCAAATAGCAAATGTGCTGCTGTGCATTAGTTATAATTTGCTCAATCATCACATTTCACAACAACTGTAAACAAAAGGCTTTAAAACATGTGATTTATCCTGATATACCTGGAAGGTTTCCATTGTTATCCACATCATCTACACACGCTCCCCATCGAACAAGAAGCTGCAAACACCCCAAGCGACCGTGAAAAGCAGCATAATGAACAGGTTTCCAGTCATTCCTGTCTGAAACATTTACATCCTAAAATGAAAGTAGCAGGTTAATTCATTCACTTCTGAATCCTAAGACACAAGACAAATTTTATATATAGCAATCTGCTGTTCATTGTGTTAAATTCTTTAAATCAAACCAAATAACATTTTCCAATGTTCATGTATTATATGCAGTTCCAGTTTCAAGACAGGCACTTTTCACAGATTCTTGCTTTTACTTAATACACTTAGAAAAGGTGCATTTTCAGACATGTTTTTATCATCATAATGACCTGCATTGGTCATTATTCCTTAAATACGCATCAGGACTAATTTTCCTTTTTTTTAAGTTTATGTCTCCTTTACTATAGAAGATGCTTAGAACTGCAAAAAATTACCATCACCCCAGTACCTGATGCTCATTTAATGGCATCCTCAGCGGAAGGTGATTTACTCACATCATTGATTCTCTCTACATTTTTTTATCACGTCCCTAAATGTACATCACAACCTAAAAAACCGGGGATTTACCCACGGAATAAATCCCCCCGCAGTAATTAATCCACAGCCCTAAGTGTCAGTTTAAGGAGGGAGTGCCGGCAGGAGTCAGCCTCACCGCGCCCGAGCGCAGCAGCGTCTGCAGCGTGTTCGAGTGCCCGTGGGCTGCGGCCAGGTGCGAGGCCGCGCACCCGCGCTCGTCCCGCGCTGCTGCGTCCGCTCCGCTCAGTAACAGGGCCTGAAAGAAATGCAGAGCACACGTTCATTTCACAAGCTGAAAAAGCAAACATTTCCCAGAAGGATGGTTTGTGATGGCCAGCAGGATAACTCCGGGCTGACCTCAGGGGTCTGGTATTGCACAAAACAGATCTGTTTGCACAGACAGCGCAAATGAGTGCTCTGCTTTGAGAATGACTAACTTAATTTGACTTGTCAAGACATCAAGATGAGCTACTCATCGCTCCCTGAGGGGCTCCCTCAGCTGATCTTCATAATGAATTTGTCCAGTATTAAGGTCTGCCCTACTAAGTTTTGCTGGCGAGTGGGGATTTGCAGTACCTGCATGCAGGCATCCTGCCCTCGGATGGCCGCCAGGTGAGCCGCTGTCCAGCCTCTCACAGTCACGCGTGCGGTGTCAGCTCCATGCCAGAGCAGCCACTGAAGGCACTGCTCAACAAAAACAAAGGGCTTTTTATTTAACTACTCCCATCGTGTCTCTGAGGCACGTTTCAACTAGAATTTATCCAGCAAAGTTACATTTCAAAACAGTGTTGGAATACTTCCTTATGGAAATAGGAGACCTCAGAGCATGCCTTAAACGGGAATTTGTGCATTAGGATGTTATGGGTAAGTTATACTTTCCAGGATTCACCCAAGGGTACAAAATGTGCAAATAACCTACTAATTCAGATCCTAGCATCAATGTTACAGTATGACTTTAACATTTTACTCTTCCAGATTTAAAATGTAATCTGTGAGAGTATTCATATGGCATGAGGTAAAAGCACTGGAAAAAACAATGCAAACATGCTCACATGAATTCCAGCTAAAATTATTGGCAGGAAAAAATCAAGTCTAAATTTAAAGCCTCATTTAATTTATTAGGCTTCTTAGGCATATGTAATCCCATCTCTCTTCTCATCCTTCCATGGCCTAGTTTTGTTTTATTCATCTTTTTCCAGCATATCATTGCTTGCAATGGCAAGCTTTATGAACTATCCAAAGACAGCTAGAGGAACAGTTAGAACTTTTTATTATATATTATTATTATTTATTATCTTCTTTCTTTATTATCTTTATTTTCCTCCACTATTTCTGCCAAGGAGCTTAGTGACAAACAGATGACAGATAATTCAATAAAGTCTAACAGACTGATTGCAAAGTAGGAGAGTCAAATGAAAATGGCAGAACTTTTAGAGGCAGAAAGGGTAGGTAAGCAATCTGATTTTGGGGCTGACATGATGATTAGCATTTTCTTGACAGTGTCTCTACATTCCAGAAGCAGCTCTGCACTTAGCAATTCTTGAGTCTAGCAAGAACTTCATGTTTTTTCTTTTGGGACACAAATGGCCTTGCTGCTTTGAGTTTAGATTGCTGTGGACAATGAACAAGGAGGCTGCAAGAAGAAGAAGAATGTTGTGCTGAACACAGCAGTTCAGTCCTTCTGGAAGTTTAAAATACTGATGCAATTATCTGCTGATTTCTCTACCATTATTCAACATTTTCATTAAAATAAAATGTATTAGGACTACTTCTATGGAGAATGAGGCATGGGACATTGGTAAGCAGAATGAACATAGTTTCATGTCACTATTCACCTGTTTCAGTCACCTTCAGAACATTTTACACATCCTGCAGGATTTTCTAGGTGTTTCAAGAGAAGGCAAAAATGCAGTAGAGACAAAAGAAGGTCATGAGTCTGAAAGGGAGGCCATAAAGCACATTTTGCTCAGAGTAAGAAACGAAATGATTTCTTAAAATACAGCAGAGTTGATTAGGTAAGTTTCCTGGGTCTTCAGAAAGAAAAAAATAAAATCAAAAATCCTGTACTCCTGCCCTTGGTGAATATATTTAATAAAAAAAACAGGCAAATATTATTGATTTAGTCTGATCAAAGCAATGTTTTGTTCAGCCTCTCCCACAGAAGGAAATATGGACATATAAAAGCCCAGCTATGCTATACAATAAGGTAATGTTTTACCTCCAGACTTCCTGAGTGGGCAGCACACTGCAAGGGTGTGAATTTGTGAACTACATCCACCTCATTAATACTGGCTCCACTTTTTATCATCGATGCAAGCTGTTCTACATCCCCAGCTTTCACTGCTTCATGCACACTAGTGTAATTTTGCTTCTTCTTGACAACTAGTGAGGAGTAATAAAAGGGCTTTAGTCCACTGCTTAAATCAACAACTTAAGAGACATTGCAATTTAAGAGATAGAGAATGTGTGATTAATCAAAAAAATATCAGAGTTGACATTCATGGCACAGAATCAAACTCTAAATGTAGAAGCAGTAGGAGAAAAGAAAAAAAAAATCTTCTGTCACCAGGCCATGGTATCAAATGACATGGGTTCTCCCTTCAGGCCTTTCCACTGATTAACTACATGGAAATAATGTTGTTTTTTGTAGACTGGAAACAATGAGAATTGCATATCCAAACCCCTTGCAACATCTTGATACCTTGACAAAACTTGTAAACAGAAATGTGAGATGTAAGTAGATCTAATGGCTAAGGGGGCTAACTTCAGATAGCCAAATATGAAAGGAACCTAAACCAATTAGCATTCACCTTCTGCAGTAGTCATCATCCCAGTACCAGAATGCACCAACACTCTGATTACATTTCACACTGCTGGAAGTCCTGAAGAATTGGGCTACTGTTTAGCAAGTCAAGAAAGCATAAAACTGAAGGTCTCAACGTATTAGTGCCTCAGCTCTTCTGCCTGTGGAGAAGAAATGGTAGTAGCAGTTAACATGGTTACACAATTTGAGGTAAAAAATATTAAAGAATATAAAAGAGATATTGTACAGACGTATTTGTCATATTTGTAAAAAAGCACTAGATATGATTAAAAACATCCTCTGCCGTTTATCAGTGCCTCTTTTCATGTAATCTGTAGTAGACAGTAGAGCTCGGAATAGATTTGGGGTTGCCACAGAGAGGGGAGGGGGGTGAAGCTCCAGCCCTCCAGTCTGACAGCAGCACACCCTGTACATGCTGTAACACACCCCTGGGTCCTGTGTCTCACCCCACCTCCACCTCCCCAGCCTGGCAGGCTGCATCACTGCCCTGCACAAAGCCGAGAAAACTTCAAAACCAGGACTCCATCCTGCAGAACACTGTACAAACAGTCAGCAGCAGCAGCACAGAAACACAGAATAATTTTGGCAGGAAGGGGCCCCAAAAGGTCATCTAGTTCATGTTTGAGTTGTTTAGGTTATTTTGAAGAACAGTTTCACCATGACATAATTTTCCCCCAAGGAAGAAATGGCTCATTATACCAAGTGAGGGTTACAGACTTCAGCTGAATTACACAACATCACAGGCAGGCCTGGCTGATTACACTGCTCAGCAAAGTTCTAGTGTGTTTAACACAATGTTTCGGTACAGCAAGTTCAAGGCAACTTTTTTTTTTTTTTCCTCCCCCTTAACCCGGAGGAAAAGCAAACAACAAGGCCCACCAGCAGAAAGAATTTTGTCTCCCCTCTCCCTCTGGATACCTACTACTGCATGAAGACAAATGCCAAGGTTGGGTGGCTGCACTGGCTTCTTGGCACGAGACAAAGGCGGCAGCCTGGGACTGAAGCTCAGAAAAAAGTTGTTAACACCAATTCTGTAAGAAGACACATTGATGTTGAAAGAGAAGGGCAGGCTCCATAATTCTAGTGTTTTTTGTTGGTTGTTTTTTTTTTTTTTTTTTTCCAAAAATTGTTTTGAATGGCAATTGAAAAACTGGAACAAACCACACAGAATAACAGAAATTCCTTTTCAAGAAATCCACAATTGTATAATTTGATTGCCAGAAAATAGCACTGAGGACATTGGCTTACCAAGGTTAAAATATATGAATAATAAGAATATTAAATTATAGTGTTCAACTGGAAACAAGAACAAATACCCATTGAAACATCCACAGAAATTTCCTGAAGAAAACAATAGAAGTGTCATCTTTCCAAAATTTTCTACTTTTCTGAAGAAAATTTAAAACCTCTAAACTTAAAAAGATTAGTAAACATTTTCAGGATCTTTTTAGTGTTATTACTGTGATTTTAATGGAGGGGGACGTTTCATTATAGAAAACACATTCTGTCTGCAGAATACCAAGTTTCCCATGGTAAAGCAGGAGTCAGGCACTGTGTGACAGCAGGACAGATTTTATGTCTGCCTGTTACAGCCTCCTCTGCAGCAGCTGAGCACCATCAGAAAGGAGACCACTCACCCACCCCATGCCGTGCAGATCCCATGCTCCCATCCCAGAAATATTCCTATGATTTAAATGTGCTCTGAATTCTATGCACAACGTCCAATCCATTGTACATATTTTTCTAACATCCAAGTTTTGTTTTACACTGAACCAAATTTTAACTCTCTACCTAAATATCTGTCCTCTGTTACCATTTACAGGAACAGACATTCACTTGCACCAGCACGTACATAAATAAAATTGAGAAAATCCTACACAGATTTACCCTATACCCTATACATTTGTGGAATGTTACAACTCTTTCCTCCATTGCTCATCTATTTCTTTATATACTTCCTAATCAGTGTATAAGAAAAGGAATTCTCTCAGTTTTGTGACCAAAATTCATTTCTAGATATGATTAAAAACATCCTCTGCCGTTTATCAGTGCCTCTTTTCATGTAATCTGTAGTGTGATAGTAGAGCTCGAATAGATTTGGGGTTGCCACAGAGAGGGGAGGGGGGTGAAGCTCCAGCCCTCCAGTCTGACAGCAGCACACCCTGTACATGCTGTAACACACCCCTGGGTCCTGTGTCTCACCCCACCTCCACCTCCCCAGCCTGGCAGGCTGCATCACTGCCCTGCACAAAGCTGAGAAAACTTCAAAACCAGGACTCCATCCTGCAAAACACTGTACAAACAGTCAGCAGCAGCACAGAAACACAGAATAATTCTGGCAGGAAGGGGCCCCAAAAGGTCATCTAGTTCATGTTTGAGTTGTTTAGGTTATTTTGAAGAACAGTTTCACCATGACATAATTTTCCCCCAAGGAAGAAATGGCTCATTATACCAAGTGAGGGTTACAGACTTCAGCTGAATTACACAACATCACAGGCAGGCCTGGCTGATTACACTGCTCAGCAAAGTTCTAGTGTGTTTAACACAATGTTTCGGTACAGCAAGTTCAAGGCAACTTTTTTTTTTTTTTCCTCCCCCTTAACCCGGAGGAAAAGCAAACAACAAGGCCCACGGGAGCCGCGGGCCCGACCCGCCCGGTCCCGGCCGGTCCCGCCGGGGCGGAGCGGAGCTGCCAGGCCCGGGGCAGGGGGAGGGCCCGGCCGGCCGGCGCCAAACACCGCCTTTCCCCGCGCTTTGGTGGGAATTTTGTCTCCCCTCTCCCTCTGGATACCTACTACTGCATGAAGACAAATGCCAAGGGTGGGTGGCTGCACTGGCTTCTTGGCACGAGACAAAGGCGGCAGCCTGGGACTGAAGCTCAGAAAAAAGCTGTTAACACCAATTCTGTAAGAAGACACATTGATGTTGAAAGAAAAGGGCAGGCTCCATAATTCTAGTGGTTTTTTTTTTTTTTTTTTTTTTACCAGAAGCTGTTATCAAACACTCGTTCAATGTTCTGGGAGAAAACTTTGCAGAAAGAATTCAGTAAGCCCTTTGAGATCGGTGTCTGCCCAAAATCCACTTAAAGAGATTAAGAGAAGGATATGGCTCGGAATAGGGAAAGGCACAATTTAGGTGTTGCGATGTTTCCGTATCACACAAACCCAATCCCCCGGAGCTCGGCTTCGGCAGCCCCGGCGCCGCGGGAGCCGCGGGCCCCACCCGCCCGGTCCCGGCCGGTCCCGCCGGGGCGGAGCGGAGCTGCCAGGCCCGGGGCAGGGGGAGGGCCCGGCCGGCCGGCGCCAAACACCGCCTTTCCCCGCGCTTTGGTGGCTATGGAGCCTCCTCAGCGCTGTGTGTGCATCCCGGCGGAGCCCCGTGCCACAGACCAGGGAGCTCGGCACGGCCGCAGGGCCGGGCCGGCGAGGGGCCGGGAGAAGGAGCCGGCGGAGGAGGGGCCGAGCGGTCTCACCGGCCGAGCGGGGCACAGCCGCCCCTCGCAGCTCAGGGGCCGGCAGCTCGCCGCGGTCGCCTGGAGCGGGTCCCTCCAGCTGCTGCTGCTGCCCGCCCCGGCGTTGCCATGGGCCCGGGCTCGCCCTTCCCGCGGAGGAAAATGGCGGGCGGGGCGGGAGAGGCGCGGCCCGGCCCTGCCGCTCGGGCCGCGCTGGAGCTGCTCGGGGCGCTCTGCACCTTCAGGCACCGCGGGCTACAGCCTGCACGGTGATCCCCACGGGAAATGTAACAAGTACCCCCAGTGATGCTCTGAGCCAGAGGTAGTGAACCAGCTTGTGCTTGGGATGACCCGGCTCCGGTCACGTTGTGGGAACCTTTAACCCGCATTTCTTTCCTGCAGTGACGCGATCCTGCTCCTCAATTCCCTTAGTCAAAACCAGCTGGTACCCTGGGGCTAAGCCGGGTTCCTTTGACGGGGGGGAAAAAAGGACGCTGAATTTCCAGAATCCTGCTTCCAGGCAGAATGAACCCTTCCCAGTCAAATTTACAGGTGTGCAGTGATAATTACATGGACCAAGTGAGCTTAATGAACCATTTAGGGTTTACTTATCCTTGTCATTTAAGAGCTGTAATAAAGCCTATTTCTGCAACTTACAGGTCTCATTTCTGTTCTATCTCTATTAGACAGAGTAATTTGTTCCCTTTTCTGAACAGCCTTCTACCTATTTAAAGACATCATATCTCTGCTCAGTTTCTGAGCTTCAGTTGGTGTGATTTAGAAGCTCACAGTATATTCCAGGACCAAAGAATCATATTTGAGCCAGGGGAGCAGGCTACATCCCTGCTCCAGGAAGAGGTTGCAATAACTAACACAGGAGTAACCCCCACAACACAAACAGCAGCCACACACACCACTGTACAGACTGACACCACCCTGATCAATTGAATTTTTGTTCCTCTGGACTGTCTCTAATTAAACAGCATATTTAAGTGTCATACCTAGAAAAGGGCAAGCTCACTAGAACTACATCTATAACAGCTATCTAGAACTACACTCCAACCTTAACAGAAGAATCAAAGTATTACTCGCTTCTTAAAAACTGCGTGAAGCCTGGCTGTCAACATGGAAAGGAGGTTTTGCAGCCAACATCTCCTGCACTGCTGATTATTTCTACTTACACACTAAGGGAGAATTCTGACTCCCAAGTACAACCTGCTAGGACTGTGACATTGCTTTCTGAGTTTTAGTGCTTCTGTCTTGCTCCCAGCAAGTTAAAAATACACTCTGTATCTAGCAGAGTGAATAAAACATCAAAAGCATGCTGAAACACACAACTTTATTTCAATTCCCACAAACATACCCATCACTGAAAGGAAGAGACTCACACTCAAATATATGCTTAGTTTTATTTATAACATTTAAGAAATATTAACATCTCAGGATATCTGGTTTACCATCTAAGTCCAGTCATAAGCAACAAAAAAGAAAATGTTAACTATGTTTCAAATGTGCATTCTTACATTCATTCCCCCCTGTAACGTAAAGAAAATTCAGCTTTATTAAATTTGTGTTTGACTAATGGAAAAAAATCATTAAAAACATCTTAACTACCAGGCATCCTGGTTTGTTAATTTTTTTGTTGGCACTTGTGTTCACCACAATCAAGCACTCCGGTTGGTTGGTTAAATTTTCCCCTTCTACCCAGAACTGTCTTTTTGTGAGTTTTTCTGTGGATTTTATTATTTTGTTGTTGTAATTGTTTTTTTAAACATCTGGATATGTAAGCTTGTTCAAGTAACTTTAAAAAGACAAGGAATCTAGGCCTGTCTGTAAAGCTCCGTCCCTTGATAACCCACCTATGGGATAACTGAAGGAAGAGACTTGCTTTCATTTTTCTGAATCTTATTAAGCAAACATTAATTTTTATTAATTTTCAACTGAAAAAAGTAAAGAAACACTGTATTTATTTGATGGTGTGCATAAACATTACACTCCATACATAGCAAAAATATCTTTTATTTATAATTTACATTTCAACAAGTGAAAATTTTACATTTTTACATATACCATTAAATTTTCACGCATCTACAGAACTTTCACACAATGACACCTGAAACTGTGCAGGCAATAAGAAATTTCAAATACAAAAATGTATTTATTAACCAAACAGTAGTTGAGGCCCTGCCTCAATTGGACATTTTATTCATATAAAAAGTATTCGCCTTCCAGAATTAACACAGCAGCTCTTCTGTTTAAAAAAAAAAAAAATCATACCGCAGTTTATTTAAACAGACTCCTCAGGTTCTGTTTTGATTTCTGTAGATGCAGGTGTGCTCTCTTCTGCACAGGCAGGAGGGGTGTCATCAGGTTCTTCTTTGATTTTAGGTGAGTCACAGGACTCTTCTGTTTCTTGTTTAACAATGTCCAACATCATATTTAGTGGATTTTCTGAAGGAGTCTTGCTGGGAGATGGTGTGCAATCAAACGATGATGTCTACAAAGTGAAAGTCAATGTAGCATTAGCACACTGAAATAATGATTTTTAGCCTCTTACTCCTTTTGTCTTTTTTCAAAATGCAAATACGTTTATGCTCAGGCACTCAAAATCCAAACTTCTACTTTGACAAACTTTTAAGAAAACATATTTTTTTTAACAGCATTATTTTTTTTCCAATTCCTTTGAAAAGTATCATCAAGCAGTGATGAAGTGCTTAACATATTACCATGAATTATTGTAACTCCCAAAGCATTAAAAATGTCACACACATCAATACCCATCTATTTCATTGTTACAAATTCCTAAGATTACACATCTTACTCCACAATAAATCCATCAAACCATGGCTTTGCTTTATGGCACGCAAGCTGTCATGGTACTCACAACCAGAAATGCATCTCAGTTAATTCTGTATTATAAACTTGCCATGCCCAAGGCCTCCAAGTCTTAGGCGAGAGAAATGAGCAGCACACTCTGAACACATCTGCTCCCTGCAAAGCGAAGAGATGAAGCAAACAAACTGAAAGCAAAATGCTTCCAAAAATATGAAGGAGTCACTTACATTCTGGTAATCTTCATAACAAGATGGATGGTAAATCTGAAAAAAAAAAGTTATACATTTAAATATATAAAAATAAATTATAGCAGGATCACTGATAATTAACTGAACAGTGTCTATTACACCCTCTCATGTAATTCATCTAGAGAAACTGTGGTCTGAGCAGGCTAAAAATGATGTCAACTATACCTGCAACATGATTTTGTGATGTTTATTTAGGAAATTTTATCATACAGAAGGCTGGTGAGTGCTGGGAATCACAGAAGCCTGGTGAGTGCTGGGAATTATCTGTGCACAGCTGCATGCAGAAAGAACTGAACCCATACCTACACCCACATACAGAGACATCAATTCTTCTTTCAGCACGGCAGTGTAAGGGAGAGCTAGCAAGCACATAACAATGACACCAGGATTTCAGGCACTTCCAAAGACAAGAGATATTTATGTATTTGGAAGCCAGAAAAACTACAATAAGAGAAAAAGAGCAATTGCCACCTCCTCCTGTTTTTTTTTCTAATTATTCAGGGGTTTTACTATAAATTAGCATCACATGTAAATAAGATCAAATTACCTTTTCATCTACCCTGATTGCATTCTTCAAGTGCCACTCTTCCTCTTCCTCGTCCCAATACTGTTCAAACTGTTCTTGGCAAATTTCACAGCTCTGAAAAGTTATTGGAATAACAGATAAATAATGTTATTGCAATTTGCTGAACACACGAAATTCAAGAATCTAGTAGGAGTCAAATAAGGTTCTTTTAAATCAAGTATACTAAGTCTAGAACATTATCTTTCCTCCACATTTTAAAAATCACTTTAATAATAAGTGAACCTTAATTAAAAATTGAGTACGGTTTGCAGACAGAGAAAGGATCACCCTCTTGCCCTGAATACTCTTTGTCACTTGAGAAATGTAAGCTTTACTCCTTTAGCTAGTTAGTCTGCAAAGCACTTTGTAACAGTGTAATGCTGTCTTACTGTCATGTAAGACAATCCATTACAGTGATTTAACTAGTTTTATTTCTGGCAATATCTTAATTCTTCCCCCTTAACCTGCAATTTCAAGTCAAACAAGGCAGAAATTTTTTAGTACTTCTGTGAAAAAGTATCAACCCAGAGAATAAAGCACAAAAGGTGCTTTTTTAAAATTAAAAAAAAGGCCTTTCTGGTTTCATAGTTTCTTAGAAACTTAGCACGTAAAACTAAACTGTAATTCTAACATTTGTATTTGATTATGCCACAAATTCGGCTACCAAAATAGAGGTCTACTGGTTACTTTCAATTTGTGGTATTTCTTTCTTCTAAAACCTGTTACTTATCAAAAAAGAAATTTTTGTGTTTGAAAGTACCAAAAACCCAGTAAATCCTGCAGTTATTTGAATGACAAACAACCAAAGGACAAATTGCTTACGTTATTTTCTCTACATAAACATTTAACAAATTAACACACTTTGCCCATTTCAATTTTACTAAAACCACATAGTACCAATGGCTGCAGATTTTTTTAACTACAAGTTTCTACTACTCCTGCCTCTGGGAAGCAACCATTACATACACAAATACACTACCTATGGAGGGGCTACACAAAGGCCCAAGTACAAAGCCTATGTTTAGCAACAAGAATACAGTACAAGCCTTTGAAAAACTAGATTCTTGCTATCTGGCAAGCTGAAACTTACCTCCACTGCTCCAGCTGGTCCTGCTGGGACACTCTGGAACTCCTTCTCTTTGGCAGCTTCCTGTGTCTTCAACACAACCTCTTCATGAGCTTTTTCAAAGAACTGGCTTTTAGCACGCTCCTCTAGATCTGCTATTTCTTCAAATTCAATCCAGTCCTAAGGAAAGTGTTCATTCTCATTCAGACATCCCAAAGCATCATATTTAATGTTACTTTGTTAAAACTGAAATATTTCCCACATGCAGCATTAGCACAGAGTACTCTTTCTCACAATGCAACACTTCAAAAACTTTTACCAAAAAAATCACTATCCTTCAAATTCCATTCACAATGGAACGAAAACAGTGCAGTAAGCAGCTTTAAACTGTTTATTGTCCATCACACAATTGTCTTTTGTATTC